TGGTGGGGTACTTCTGTGAGCCTGGAGCAAGGTCATAAGCTCTGACATGTGAGGCTGTGTCCTCAGTCCAATGTGTTCAGGGGAAATGCCCCATTTCTCCTTTGTAAGGTTCCTATTTTATGTCAATTTTGGTAGTGTATGCCTGTAAACTTAGCACCTAGGAACTCAAGGCAGGAGAATCTGTGTTCAGGTCAGTCTGGACTACTTAGTAAGTTTCAGACAATCTTGAAATACAAAACAAAGTCCAATCTGAAAAAAGAGATACAAAACAACTAAAAAAAATACCTGTTTGTTTAGTAATTTGACTTTTAAACATTTTTAGTGACAGGGTCTCATGTATACCAGGCTGGTCTTAACTTGCTAAGTAGCCCAGGGTGACCTTGATCTTGGTTCTCCTGACTCCACCTGAACGCTGGTTATGCTGGGCTGCAGCTGAACCCAGGCTGTCACCAAGGCTTGGAGAACAGTTAAGCAACTGAGCTGCAGCCCCAGCCTTCCTAAGCATTCATTCACCAGTTCTTCAGCTTTGCCAAGGATCTAAATAATCCCTACCTAATAAAATCTCACTTGAGCAAATCAGTGCGTGATCTGGCATGGTCCATGAGTCATCGTCCACTGCATGCCTTCTGTGGGCTCCCTAGTCTAACTCCCAGCAACTGTGAAGAACATTTCAGAAGCTTTTAAGGTCTCCCGCTCCCTCTGCTTGTCATGCAGCACTGGGACTGAACCCATGGACTGAAGGATTCAAAGCAAATGCTCTACCCCTGAGCTACAGCCCCAGGTATTTTAAGGTCCCTCACATCTCCAAGATGTGGGTCCATCTTGCTGTAGATACGCCCTATTCTGTACTGTACTGAGAGCTGTTATAATGTTGTAGTCCATGAGCAACTGACCCAACATAGGTGTCATGAGAAGCCAGGGCTCTCATGCTAGGAGATATGCTTATCTGTACAATCTAATAACCAGGAGGACCACTGTATTATTACCAGCTGTCACCAGATAAGAAAGTTCTTATCACAGTGATTCCAGCTATGTTCCCTATAGTTGTAATCAAGGAACAATGCTTTAAAAGTTTTATTTCGCTCATTACTATTATTTAAAAAACTTATTTGTATTTGATGTGTGGTGCTTTAGTGTGTTCTCTGTGCAATCACCACATTACATCCTGTGCCCATGGAGGACAGAAAAGGGCATTCGGTCTCCTGGAACTGGAGTGACTGTTGTTCTTTACCATGTGGGTGCTGGGCCTTGAAGCTCGGTTCTCTATATGAGCAGGAAGTATTCTTAATTACTAAGCCATCTTTCCAGCTCATATTATTTTTTGAGACACACTATTACTATATAAGCTTCAACTCTTCATCCTCCTGCCTCAGCTTCCTGGGTGCGGGCATTCCTGGGAGGCAAGTGTCTCCACACCTGCCTGGAATGGTGTTTTATTTTTGTTTTTGTTTTTTTGGTTTTTTCGAGACAGGGTTTCTCTGTGTAGTCCTGGCTGTCCTAGAACTAACTCTGTAGACCAGGCTGGCCTCGAACTCAGAAATCCGCCTGCCTCTGCCTCCCAAGTGCTGGGATTAAAGGCGTGCGCCACCACCGCCCGGCCGGAATGGTGTTTTACTTACACGAGCAGTGAGAAGGATCTGAGAAGCGCTCTTTCGGACAATGGCCACTGCTTTTGAGCAAGCGCTCCTTACCTCTCAGCACGTGCTGGTAACTGGACAACAGGAATTGCAGATGCTCAACCAGCTCGTCCCATGTCTGCCACTGGGTTTTATCTGACTGCAGAGACAGTAAAAGCAGCGGATAATCAATGGTTCCCATTACAGTTTCCAAATCTCTCCCATGATGCCCAACAGCAGAATCGGGAGAAAATGCTCTGAAGCAGGAAGGAACGTACCTGACACTTGAGGAGGGACGTGGAATTGTTCAGAAAATAGAGGGTCTGGGCCAGAGACAAGGGGAGTCGGGTGGGAGTCTCACAACTGTGGAGGAATATGATCTCTAAGACTTTGCATCGCAGAAGGTGGCTTTCCATGGTAGTGAAGAACATCTCCCTGTGTGGAGAAGAGGGAGAAGCCAATGCACATTTAAAGAGCATGTAGCCCCACTTTCTCTCAATGCTCTAATGTGACAGAGGTCTAAAAACCACAGTGATTACAGACAGAAATGGATTTATTAATAAACCAGTTACTTACAGAATAATGGAACAGTCTTTGACAGTTGAGAAAGAAAAAGCCAGGTATCCTGGTGCATCATCCCAGTGGTAGGCAGGAAGGCCCTGAGTTTGAGACCAGCCAGTGGGGACTGAACCCAGGGCCCGTGCTCCGTCACTGGGATGTACCGTTCACCTGAAATCTCTAATGCTTCTCATCACAGATACCACACTCAAGCATCTTAAAATACATCAAGTACTTAGCAATTAGGAATTGTATTCAGCAAAAAAACCCCTTCACAAATGAAGGTGAAATTCAAAAGAAATCAAGATAAAATAATGTAGCAAGCCAGGTGTGGTGGTGTGCACCTTTAATCCCAGCACTAAGGAGGCAGAGGCAGGCAGATTTCTGAGTTTGGGGCCAGCCTGGTCTACAGAATGAGTTTCAGGACAGTCAAGGCTACATAGAGAGACCCTGTCTTGGAAAAAAACCAACCAACCAACCAGCCAGCTAGCTAGCCAGCCAGCCAGCCAGCCAGCCAGCCAGCCAGGCAGCCAGCTAACAAACAACAAACACAGAAAAAGGAAATTAATTAGCATAATTTCCCACATCAGAGAATAAAGAGGAAAAATTTATAATTACATCAGCAGATGATGGAATCCTTAGCAATTATTTATTCTTTAGAAAAATACCAGTCAAGTAGAACTAGACCTCA